TTGTAGATATTCACTCCTTTTAGATGAGCCAAATAAGCGCCTCCTTGTGGTCTCAGACTCCTTTGTCCCTTTATTGAGCAGCCTTGGTCACTGTGGATCCTACTGCAGGATTGCTGACTTGCCTACGGGTATTTTCTGAACGCATTTCTTATCTAGCTTACATCAGCTGTTCTTCAGGACTGCGCCTATACACATCCCATTCGTAGTTCTTCCGGCCCATATTTCCTTAGGGCTGCTGACTTTGTGGTCAATAAGGGGACGGGTTTTGTTCATGTGGCACCAGCCCACGGTCGCGACGATTTTGAATTTGCCAAGCGTCACAACCTACCCCTTGTAATACCTTCGTCTTTTATTCTTTCTTGAAATGCTTTTAATTCGTCCTCTTATTTCATTCATTATTTATATTTCCCTAGAAAAACTATGCCGATGAAGAGGCGCGCTTTACTGAGGATGCGGGTCAAGAGTTGGCCGGCTTATCCGTTCAATCAGAGGGGACTTCTGCCGGTCAGTACTTAATTTTGCCACAGAACCTTGTTTATTTAATCCCGCCTTTCGTCCTGCCCCCTCATATGTCATGGTTTTGAATGAACAAACCTTGTATTTCCCAGACGATTGTTTATCGGTTGCAAAGACTCCATTAGTTGTTTTCCCCATCATTGATAGCCTTGCAGACTTCGATTTTCAAGAGGCATGGCCTTTGCTCCTCTCCTGTCTTTATTGATTCATTCGCGTATTTTTAAGCAAAATCAAATGTATAACCATATTTAGGCCTTTTCACCTTGAATAGTGAATCATTTTTTAGGGTTAATGATGCTCTTTTTGGACATCTGGTAGGCGCTAAACTGTTTACTTTTTTCAGGTTTCACATGAGTTTGGTCAGGTAGTTTTCGTCCCCTTTATAACACCTTCGTTGTTCCTTTCGTTACCCCTACGAAGATGGTGGGCAAAAATGTCTTTGTCCGCAAGGCGTTGAATCTAGGTTCTAGTAGTCTGCGCTGATGTTTCACTGTTACCTGTTACAGCCCGTTATCTCAATGGCGTTGACTGTCGTCTCTTCGGGTAGCGATAGCTTATTTAAGTCTGTTCCCGATGTTTTTAGGTAAAAAGGGCCACTGATTTCTGATCGTATTCTGTATTATTTTTTTCTGTGCATCTTCTTCTAGTTTTTCTTGCTTCGATCGCTCAGCACTGGTGCTTTGGCGTCCTTAACACAATACTTATCTAGCTTTCTTGGCTTATTCACAGTAAGCTCTATGTTTTATCTACCTGTCGTCACTATGTTGTTGCTATTTGTCTGTTTCAGTCATAAAGCTGTTGGGCGAACACGTTCTAAGCGCTGAAAAGATGCGGCACAGCTTTCCGTACGAATGGCGTACAAATAAACCCGTTATTACACGCCTGTCGGAGCAGTGGTTTATCGACACGGACAAGCTGTGCGAACCGGCCAAAGTGGGTTCACTTGTCTGCGTTGTAGTTATATTTTT